AGATACAAAAACACAGATCAATATTAAAAACACACATAATACATACAAATTAAACATTTAAATCACATAATTTTTTCAAAAAAAACTGTGTTAAAACATTTTGCACATATTTTATAAACTCATAATTTTATCGTAGCATAATATAATTTGAGAAATCAAAAGTGACTCACCCATACGCTGGTGGTACTGCTTGAATGTTGCCGATATGTACCTGAACATCATCATCATCACTGTCGGAATCACTGTCCTCTCCACTTCCACCACCGACGCCACTTCTCCTTCTCCTCCAGTGCCACCACTTTTTTCTCCTTCTTCCCCACCTCCTCCTTCTGCTTCTCCATCTTCGTCGTCCTGTAATAATATCCAGACATGAATACAAGAGGTATTGTAGAGGTAAATATTCTAAAACTTTAGTCCTCTCTAACGCTTTCAAATGAATAAACTACAAAAATTCAGAACATCAACAACTTCATGGTTTAAAGTATTTATCACACGACAAGTCAAATCTTACCAAACTTTCTCGGTATTAAGTACTTTATACTGTAAAACCATTTATTTATTTGTCAAAGAAACAATGAGTTTTAATGTTATTTTAAATTTAGCAGATTTTACTTATCAGCGAAAATAGTGAAATGAAAACCTAGTGAATAATTAATAAATGTATAGTACCCAAATGTTTAGCAGGATTTTGCACTTGAATTTTGAACATGTCATCAATTGGGAAGCAGAAACAAGTGCTAACATTCAGACAAGCTAAAGATCATTGAAACCAAAAAGTGGAAACAAGCTCCATAGCACCAAGAGCCAAATGATTTCCAAGACTTTTTCAGATCTTTTCCCAAACTTTCTTGCATTTTTCCAAGACATTTTGACCCTTAATTCAGGCCAACATCATCACCAAAGCTCATCAAAGTTCTGAGGATATGGTAGTTCCCTGGAGAAAACGGGCCTTTCTAAAATGAATTAATAGCTATGAAAAAATTTAAAGTCTTTTCAAAGATTTTCCTAATGCTTTTCCGCCATTTAATGTGAATATAGTTCCTGCCAAAATATTCCCACTAAAAATTTAACAAATCTCCACCATAACTTTCTAGCCACAATTTTCCAAATT